GTGTCGGTCTCGCTGCAACACCGCGTCGCGAACGGTTGAGTTGTACAAATAGGCTGCGTTATACTATTCCGAACATTCGGGATTAATTCCAGCACAGCACTCAGTTCGAGCGTAGTGCTGGAACTATCCGGATTTCGAGATCAGTATGAAGCAGCCATCGACTTGAGACTGTGGGTCCGTCAGCTAATACAGCTCAGGCTGCACTATGTTTTTTCTCTCAAGTTACCACCCAGCTTTCTTCAAACTCAAAGAACGTTTACATATAGTAGACGTCATCCGTTTAGTCACCTCGGTGCGATGTGTGTTACTGCACAGAATTTTAAAATCCCAAATGAGGTACGAAGCTCCCGCCGTGCCGTACTTGCATCAAGTGCGCATACGGCTAAAATTTGATGCCAAACTACCCTTTTTTACTTTTTATGTTTTTTTGTTTTTAGCTGCATGCACGGTCTAGTTTTCAATGATTTGTTACCTTTGCACTCGTGCATTGCCGCTTTAGATCGGATATCTCAAAATTTACTACTTCTGCTTTCGGGTAAGGGAGGCACAAGGGCAATCTTGGAAGACTGTGAAGTAAGTGTGCTTTTCAGTATTATCGTATGTAGAAAGAACAGAGAATGTCTCCTAGACAATACGAGTTTTAACTTCTTGTTGATTATCGAAAATCCTGGTTTTTTGTGCTGAGTTATAATGAGAAGCTGTTTTCAAACACAGGATTGCTTCCAGCATAAATTTTTGCTGTTAATGCGATGTTTGTGAATTCCGTGGATCTTATTTAGCGTTGTAAAGCACACTTGCTTCACAATCCTGCAGGATTGCCCTTATGCTTCCCTTACCTGAAAGCAGAAGTGATAACTTTTGAGATATCCGATCTAAAACGGCAATGCACGAGTGGGTAACAAATCATTGAGAACTAGACCGTGCATGCAGCTAAAAACAAAAAAAAAACATTAAAATAAAAAACGGGTAGTTTGGCGTCAAATTTTAGCCGTATGCGCACTTGGTGCAAGTACGGCACGGCGGCAGCCCAACACCTCATCCGGGATTTTAAAATTGTGTGCAGTAACACACATCGCACCAAAGTGACTAGACGGATGACGTCTACTATACATGGGAGATGATGTTCTGTAATTGAGGTCTGTTTCATTAACGCAATTCATCTTTATAAAGAACGCTCTAGACTGATGAGTACTTTTCATTCAGTTTAAGTCATCTACACGGTTCAAAATAGGCAAGTGGTTTTAAACAGTAGTGCGAGCTTACACGAGGTCACGCAAGACATGACACAGTTCGAACTGATATCGCGAAGAGACCTACAGTAGTAATTGTTATTTTCTACTGCGTATGCACGCAACAAAAATTAATAACCATACATTAACATTTCGCAAATGGTAGCTACACCTATGTCAGATTTTCATTGTGCTTTCTAGCTGACGTTATAACAGAAATCAGAATTGCAACGCGCACTACTGCACAACGATATCGTTTTAGTAATCATTCGAAACAAAGAAATCGAAAAACAGTTACTGAAACATATTTTACCCCTTTGCTATACGATTACACAGAACGCCGTAATCAAAATCTGTTGCATACGTTAATAGAGCAAACCCCTCTTAATTATGGGGCTGGACATGTTCAAGGAGTAATGCATGAAACATGTACTCAAAACCGCTTTTTCATTTTTAAATCTAAAACAACTCCCGGCTTGACATTAGCCACTATCGGGCCCAACCCTGGAGGTAATATTGTGAAAGTGCATAGTTTTGTAAATCAGAGTTGTCTACTGGACGAGGCTCCTGACTGCGAGAGACGGTAAAAAGCGCAATTTCTCCAAAGGTCAACAGTTTTGCAGCTCAATTTCAGCTTAGGGAGCCTTTCAAAGACCAGTCTAAGTGTCTAGCATACTCGATTTCTGGCAACCATTGCTAAATTTAAAGTGTTTAACGAAAAATTGATTGAGATACGCACTAAAACGCCGTTACCTGCATAATCCCAAGTTTTTGAGCCCCGAAATTATGTTTTGGATCTGTTTCAGATTATTAAGATCGACCAACCCATATTACATTCATATATACCTTTTCAGAAATTTGAATTGCTCCTAGAACATCAACCCCCACGATGGTCAACCGCCCCAACGTGACGTGGGGGGTGACAATAGGTGTCGCACTCGATGCACAGCCGGGTATACTCTGGCAAGGCCTCCCAAGTTGTAAAGGAGTTCGACTTCTTCGGTTTCGGCAGGATGCCTATCTAAGAGCCGGCCAAGCCAAATCTCCCGCCGTTTGGTTCTTTCGGTCGCGAGGCGGTCCTCCCGCTCCACACCCGGGTCAGCGATCACCCCGTGGAAATCAAGAGTTGGCCTAGTAAGTCTGCTCTTGTAGGTAAACATTTTTAGTGCTCGATCAGCAAAAAGGAAAGAAAAAACCTTGCACATCGTGTCCCGCCTGCGCTGGGTAGTAGCAAGAACGTGTCAGAGTACTCAAAGAGCCTTTCGGATTGGACAAAAACGACACATCTGCCCGGACGACACACCCCATGAAGACTGCCTTATGCTCTGCACCAGGGCAGTCTCCACAAACGCCAACCTCCACGCTCTTCTCGACACTGCAGAGCACAACAAATACCACGCATCGCTCAGCAGGAAACGAAGTTTAGGAAGAAGAACGTGCGACAGTGAGTGATGGGTCTTCATCGTTCGTGGTGCTAGGCAATCAGAGTCGCTGGTTCCGAATATGAAATTTGCACATTGTTATTACGCTTCTTCCATAACTCATTCTTGGTAGACCGTAACAACTATTCTCTCGATGTTGCTTAAATGTTTGATTACATCATTGAGGACCTCAGAAAACTCCCGCATGAGTGAAAACCCTGTCACACTTTCCTTTCAAACTTTCCCTTCAAACTTTCGGAAATACTCAACTGTTACGCAGCGCAAGGCAATGCGCTTCCGAGACCCAGCAAAACTGAAGTCCTAAGTTGATTTCAAATTCGGCTCTTTTTTATCAAAGTGCAATAATTCAGGGTGTCCTCAAAAATTGGACCAAGTAGATCTCTTTAATCGCCAATGGTTCTCTTCTACAAACATCTTTTGCAATATTCAGGAAGCTTATTGTAGGGCTGACTTCGACTATTATCTACTCTGAAACGCTGCTCAATTTACGCAAAATGTTGAAGATTTTGCGCTAAAAGAGCATATACTGATCCGGACGAATGTGCTGAGAATGTGAGCGTTTCGAGATTTTGTTTTTGAAATGGAAGTTGATGGGCAAGGACGGTATTGTGCTCGAAGTTCTCAATAATTCATAGAAATGAAGAGCAATGGATGAGTAAATCTGTAACGTAAATCTAATTGTAAGTTGAAAGCAGTTCCCCCTTATGCCCAAAATTCCTTAAAATTATTTACAAAAGGGCATTGATTTGATACATTTCGGGAACACTCTGTCTATACAGTTGACCAAACCTGTGCAAGACATATAGCAGTCTCTTCCTTAAAACGCTCAGACGATCAAATCGGCTCGTAGCGAAGTTTTCGACTTGTTCAAATGAAATGAAGCGCCATAGAGCCAATTCGAGTCCGATTTACCGGCAAAAGTCGACTGTATAGTTAGCCGTTCCATAGTTAAAGCACATACTCTTTTTAAATCAATCGCTAATTTAAAGAGATTAGCTAATGTCTAATTAGAAATCTTTTGGAAAATTATCCCGATTATGCTTGTGTTCTCGTAAAACTCGTAAACTTTTTTGAAGCTAAAAAGCCATAACATGAATTTTTATTTTTGGAACTACAGATAAACCTTGAAACATCCTTTCCTTCAAATTTTCTGCTCATATTTTATGGATAAGTGGCGGGGTTCAACATCACGTTGGCGCGAAACTTCTTGCGCAATTTGAACAATACTCAATAACTTTTTAAGCGCCAAGCGCCTAGTTCGCGTCTTTGAAATGGTAGAAAATTGCGTTCCAAACAGATATCATGCGTAACTTTGGAAACAAATTTTCCAAGACTTTCCAAGTTTTTTTCAAAGCTGGCTGTCTTTCTTTGTCATCGTGCTGCCCTTTATTGAAACTGACAGGCATATTCAGTAGCCGTCATTGGACAGCAAAAATTTTGAAGATTGTTTCATAACAAAGGGAGCTCAGAAAATTTTTAAGGCGAGATTTTTTGAGCGAATGGAAAACCGATTTTTTGCAATGCTCTTATAAACGTATTAATGACCTTTGTGAACTATAATTCCAGCTGCCACGAGAGTAGAAGAGTTACTGGTTTCGGCTCTGTTAGCTTTTGCTTTGTTCTTTCAACTACAACATTCGACTCATCGACTGCCCCTATCTGATATTGTTGTCTAAAGAGAATATGAATCATTTTTTGACAACAACTTCCACAAGCAAGACATTTTTCCAAAACTACATTTGTGCATATGTTATCCATTGCACCCTTATTCGGTGACCATCGTAAAAAATTAACTTGGCGGGAGAATTGTAGAGATCTCTTTGAAAGCATATGTTTTTCTAGTGAAGAGCTGACGGCACCTGCATTCTTGGATTTGCAATCTTGTTAGACAGAAGATTTACTAAACTCCACGATATAGCAAAGAGCAAAGCTTTGCAAATGCATAGATAGATTTGAGACTAACGTTTCAAGGGTTACGTGCCCGTGCACATTTCTTCCCGATGGTCGCTCTAATGATGTGTTACTTTTTTGTTAGGTAAGTGTCAACGTTTAATCAGCTTCAAATTTCAACAAATAATTGTCTACAAACACTTTTTGCACGAGATACTGTCATGTGAGTTATTGTATGAAAGAGAACATGAAATATATTTATTGCGCAAGTTACCTTCTTGGGCAGAAGCGTCCCAGAATTCTCGTCCGAAGGGGAAAGGGAGACGTCAGAAAGCTTCTCGAAATGTGGGTACGTGGCGTTAGCCGCGTACTTCGAAAGATTTGAGGTGATTAACTAAACAAAATAACAAAACTAACAAAACTTTTGCTCTGTTTTTCACATTTCTTCCATAAGCCCGAGATTTATTTTTCACAAGGCTAGTTTGAATTTTTAGGAACTTGAAGTCTACTTTTGTTTTACAAGTATGAATAGATTACTCAGAATCTTTATAACTCAGTAATTAACTTTCAAAAGTCGCTACCCATTCTGGGAAGAAAGGTGCATCCCCCCCCCTTCTCGGTCCGCTACTGCCCTCAGGTGAAAAAAGAGACAGGAATGGTACTGTTTATGTGTTGCCAGAGCTTCTCTTGAAAGTTACCGACCACGGTAATTTGGATGGATTTAGATGGCTGCAGTCTGTTCTTTCTGCGCCGATGATAACACAAGCTATAGTTCCGCCTCCACCAGGTCTATGCCAAGTACGTTTAGCACCGCATCCATATATAGTCCTATTGTGAGCAACCACCAGCTGAAATGCATTGAAACTTTTTGTGCCTTTTCTTCCATCTAGCAGCAGATGTCTGCTCCTCAAAGCAAGCACTAAAACATGTGTGAAACGTTGAAACGAGTACGATTTTTGCGCAAAGCTTAATCTTGATGGATGATCAACGCTTGCAAAGGTATTTTTTTACTCGACTGATTATCTAATAGAAATTCTTAGAATGCAAACCTGTCTCCGATTAAATATCAGTGTAAATGTTGCAATATTGTATTGCCTACACTGATGGCAGGCATACGATATTGTAACATTTACACTTGTTTTTTGCGCGCTTGTGTGAGTTGGAGCAAAATTGTGCTATGGTCATAGGGCTGGAATCTTGCGGAGAGGTAGAAAGTCATTTTTTTTAGCTCAAAAAAAAAGATCGAAGATGAAATACATGAAGTCAAAAATCACATATGATGCGCCTAGTTCAAGAAACGTGCCTTCCGTTCCTAGGTCTTGCCAAACGCGCCTTTTTAAGCCTTTAATTTACTGAACTTTTCATGATTCAACACATGGTTCCAACCCTCCATCGCACACAAAAATGGAAATTAGCGTCATATCATTGCTTGTTTGTTGTAAAAAGCCGTAAGTTTGCTTTGGGGCACAATTTTAATTTTATACTGCGCGTCTTTCGAAAACATCTTACGGCTTTTTGTTTCAACAGAAAAGAGGATTGCTGAGGTGGCAATGGTGTCAAAAGTTTCAAAGGTAATAGAAGTAAACGAGTGCAGCGTGCTTGGTTACGCCGTCCTTCCAAACTTAGGCATTACTCTCCGTAAGAGATACTAAGCAGCATGGACGAAGGTGCAAACACTCAATCAAGTACGAAAAGAGTCATTACCACACTTTGTAAACGTCTTTGCCGTGGCAGTTCCACTCTCATCAGAAGCAACAGTTTCGAGCTAGATGTCAGAAAAGCGAATTCAGAACTGTCTACCTAGAGAAGTCAACGGTTTAAAGCACGATGGCACGATGATATGGTACAAAACTTGGTTTGAAGATGCGCAGAGGAGAGTTGGAACAGGTGCGAAGATTTATGAAAACTCATGTCGAAATGTCGAATTGTTGGGTTACGGTCTATGTCTATGTTTTACTCTGCTACTACTTTAAAGGCAATGTCCGGGCAATAACTCGATTTTGAGATTTTGTGCTTATGCCTATTCGCTATGCTGAATCCGAAAATCCACATTGGAGAGCGCGAAAACGACGAAAAAAGGCTCTAACACTGGAGGGAAATCAGCAAGTGGGCGAGGTCTTCCCCACTGTGAATTCACGCTTCCAGCTTCCAGAGCAATTTTCTCGAATCCGTTAGCCGCCCTGACATCACTACCGATTAAGTGCAAACGAATGACTTGAAACCGAAATCAAAAAGGTCGCAGGGAAGGTCCCCGAAGCAGGGAGCGTGAATTTGCCGTGGGGAAGACCCTGCCCCCTTACTGAATTCCCTCCAATATTAGAGCCCTTTTTCGTTTTCGCGCTTTCCAATGTAGATTTTCGGATTCAGCATAGCGAATAGGCCCGGGTAAGCACAAAATCTCAAAATCGAGTTTTTGCCCGGACACTGCCTTTAACCCATTGTATAGTTAGAACCGAATATTCGTGTTCGAATAATTTATTCGAAATATTCGACTATTCGAATATTCGAATAGTCGAGTATCCGAGGAAGTCCAATTATTCGATTATTCGAATAGTCGAATAAATGAGAAAGGCCTGTATTCGAATAATTCGTTCATTCGATGATTTGGAAAAGTGGGTTATTCGAATATTCGTTTATTCGAGGAATTTTAAAAGACAGTCATTCGAATATTCGAATATTCGAGCAACTTGAAAGACAGTTATTCGAATATTCGAATATTTAAGAACATCCATTCGAACATTCGATGTCAAAAGAAAACTTCAGCTGTTCTACACTGAGTACAAGTATGTCCCCAATCGGTCAATCACACAAATGAATCATCATATAATAGAATGGTTAGCAAGCTTTTCTTTTTAGGGCATGAGTCGCGAGTCATGCCAGAGCATTATAAGTATTATTTATAATTCATTTGGAGTGACGAACTATCTTCTGCAAATCGCGTCTGAAAAGTTGAGATGCGATATCATGCGGAAAGACTCCCAAGCTCTAAACTGGGGGAAGAAAAGCCGTCATTAGGCGCCCTTTAGCAGACCACTGGTCCTCAAACAGCTTGCATAAGCATGTAAAGGATTAACAGTCTCCTAAGGCAGCAGGTATAGGCAACATTCATTCCTTCATCTCGAGATCTTCACTTGCCTTGCCAGCCTAAGCACCGCTCGCATGTCAGAATACCTTCAAGATACGTTACAACGCAAGGCCAGAGCAAGGCGGTCGTAAGGGCCTGAGCCGCTTGACTTGAGGGCAGTCTTATATCAGTCACTATGCTCAAATCGGCTGCCCAGTCTTATAAAACTAGTATTAGAAGGTTGCAAAGTTCGTAGAGGAATAATACTTTGAGTAGGCGTGTAGGTTGAACATTAATTATTTTGAACCTGAGTAAGAGATGTGGAAGATCCCTTACAAAAAAGTACAAACCTCAAAAATACAACTAAAACAACTTTGTGAGAATTCAGTCCTACAGCAGAAACTCTGAAACTCACTGATCGAGAATTCCCGACAAGTGTTAGATTATCAGCTAATATACAAATACTTCCATGAGTTTTCTTTTTTTGCATTTATATGAGCATAGAAGTATTAGGTTGTCCCGAAAGTTTTGTCCGTTTTTTTTCCATCGCTCACTAGAAGTCACAGAACACCAAAGCATGGACAACTCAAGTACGATTTGATACATATTTTTACCTTCTTTCTTACAGCTCTATTTGCTGATCTACTCTGCCTCTGCAATGTTATCGACACGGCTTTCTGAGCAGCTCGGAAGTAACGCCAAATCTTTACTGAGTTTCAAAAATTTTTTATCCTGATGTTTTTAAAAAGCGCGGAAAATTATTATGTAGAGCAAGCCTCTGGCTACATCGTATCCAATTTAAATTACATCCATGTTTACCAAGCTCGTTATAATTCTTTGTTTGATGAAAGCTGCGCTTTTTGATTACATTTACCACTTAAAAGTACCGAAGATTCCGAAAAGCTGCTTTTTCAAAGCAAATCAAACTTGGTTATGTAGCATAGATAGTGTTTGATAAGAATCATATTTCAATTCGCAAAAGCTTTGAAAGCTTTCGTGTATTTGCTGCAGTTGCGTGTTTCATGACTCAAAAAAAACCAAACTTCCGAAGAAATAATGTTTTTGAAGCTAAAAACAGCAAATTAAGAGAATCTAAAAATATTACCTTGTAGTCCGAGAATTGCTCTATTTGATCCATACTTAGTCCTTTCTGAAACTTTGGAATGAAATTTAAGACTTTGGAATGAAACTTTAAAAAGTAGCTTAACTTTGAGCAGATAAAATTGACGGATGGAGAATTTTGGCAATTATCAAAGAAAGCATATAAGATTGTGGTTCGAAAATGTATTCTTAAAAGAAAGGGAAAAGCTGCATCGAATGCATGTTGAGAGTCATTCAGGTCTTTATTGTGCGTGATTCTATAGCGGTTTGAAAAAACGGACAAAACTTTTGGGACAACTGCAGAGGTTCACTGATTCTATTACTGTAGACCTTCCTTGTGCTCCCCCAGTGCTAGTCTTAGAACTCACGCAATGCTGACCATTATGAATAAATCACAACCAACTACCTAATCTAAAAGGTTTTCCATGTTAAATCTAAAGCTTTGGGAAAAAAATCTGTGTAACTTCGGAAGAAACTTCTGTAAGGAAGAATAAATGCATTGAAACAATTACTAAGTAAGGCTTAGTAGCCGTCTTAAAAGGCCACGAACACCTTGAACTACATGTTTGAGTGAAAATTCTTCTGTTTCCTAGGTGGAACCCTGAGCAACGATAATAACCCAGTCATCCTACCACTTGCTACATATATAATTAAGAGCTACAAATTTAGATCAAATATAGTGATTAAGTTTTTTTTGCAAACCGCAACAAAGAAAAAACCAGCATTGTTTGAGCCTCTAAATTATTCGAATTATTCGAATAGTCGAATATTCGGACCGGTATGATTATTCGATTATTCGAATAGTCGAATACTCGACCATATGTAATTATTCGATTATTCGAATAGTCGAATATTCGACCAACCCCATTTATTCGAATATTCGTTCATTCGAATTTTGAAATGTAGCATTATTCGAATATTCAAATTCGAATAATCTGAAAATCACAGATCGAATAATATTCGTTCGTTCGAATATTTTTCAAAAGCCGATTATTCGAAATTCATTCGTTCGACGAAAATTTTCGGTCGTTTCAACTATAACCCATTGACGACGACGCCTATTTCGCGTGGCGGCGCTGTGGGACGACGCGATCTTGCACAACATTTTCTGTATGGGAAGGTCTTGTGGTTATTTACGAAATGCAAGATCGTTTTGTGAACAACTATAAACATTTTCTTGAACGACAGAGCCTGCAGGTCCCAAGAGTGCAAAAATTTGTAAAAATTATTTATGTGTGGAAAAATTACTAGGCCTACAAATAATATGACTTTGCAGGAGGTGTGGACCACCGGTGGTCCACATCGTCTCTGGCAGCAAAAAGTGACCACCGGTGGTCCACATCGTCGTCAATGAGTTAAGAAGCAGTGATACCTTATTGTCAGGCACCTCACAGGCAAGCCTAACGCCTTTCGACGTGTCTTGACATGTGAGATCTTGAATACGGAGATTCATCAATACCTAGCGGCATCCAACAAATATGTAGTGGCTCCGTGGTGTTGTGGGCTGCTAGTTTGCTCAGAGCGCCGATGTACTACAGTTCAAGTCTCGGCTCCGGTAGAGTGTTTTACGATGAAGCGTTTAGCGGCTCTTTAACAACCATAGCGGCTCCGCAAGTAGCGGTAAGAAACTCCGAGTTAACTCTGAGTTTCGAAACGAAACTCTGAGTTAACGCGCAGCTTTGAACTCGGAGTTTCGGCGAGATTGCTACCGGCCCAGATTTTTTGCTTTTTGCAGGTACATTGGACCTAGTACTACTAATGATAAGGAAAAGGCAGGTTCTCTTGTCTCTAAAATGAAATAATTCCAGAAAAATTTGAAAAACGCGATTTTTCTGTCGTTTCCGAAATGCTGGAAAACACGGGTACTTTCACCTTAGATTTTTTCGCATTTTTTTCTGTGAGGTCCATGTGTCACACTACTATTCAATCGACTATCGGCTATACAATGAGCAAAGTCTGCTCAGTTTTATTAGGTGGGTCACAAAGTTCGTTCGCCAGATTTTCAAAAAATCATAACTTCCTTCCTTCTCGGTAGAATTTCTTGAATTTACTCCTGTTTGAAAGAAGAAACCTTTCTATTTACAGCCGTACCTTTGGCATGAAATAGCGTGAGGAAGTTCGAGAGTTACAAGCAGTTGAATGAAATCACTCAAGATCGGCACTTTTCAAGCAGGGTCACGAAAAATCCTGGAAGTATTTTTATTTGATAGAGTAAATTTTTCTCATTACAGTGGTACCTTTTTTATAAATTAAAACGAAGTAGATCGAGAGTTAGAAGTAAATAAAGAGAATTTCTTAACTTTTGCAATTTTTGAGCATGCTCAAAAAAGCTTGAAAACGCCACAGAAAAGGCGAAAAAGTCATAAACATGGGTTTCGCGACCTTCCCTTTCTAGCTGAGTGAAAATCGTGCCAATAGGGAGCAATTTCGTGCCAATAGGGAGCAATTTTCACTTTCGTGAAAAACGCAGACCCAAAAATCCGAATAAGCGAAAATGAAAATTGGTCCCTATTGGCACGATTCTCACTCAGCTAGAAAGAGAAGGTCGCGAAACCCATGTTTATGACTTTTTCGCCTTTTCTGTGACGTTTTCAAGCTTTTTTGAGCATGCTCAAAAATTGCAAAAGTAAAGA